GTGTGAGCAACATGTGAAGCATTATAAGAATTTAAAGAATCTCCGTTTGCATTCCCATAGGAATAAACACAAATGCTGTGTTTATTCCCATGAGATGTTCTGCCAGCCCTCTACTGCAGCCACCTTCAGTTGCTGCGTGTTTTGGGTCTCTCTGCCTCCAGTTTGGTTTTTAATAACTGAAAAACATGCTCTGAGGTCAAATGACTTAAAGCAAAGAATATCTTTGCCTTGTCTGCTCAGTTCTGCAGTGTTCGGCTGAAGCTGAGCAGAGAGTATAGCTCAGTTCATCCTGCTGCTTCTATCAGCAGTCACATTATCAATAAAGTGGCCCAGTTCCACTGCAGCCATACACATCTATGCCATAACACTACCTCCACCGTGCTTGACAGATGATGTGCTTTGGTTCCTGGGCTGTTTCTGGTTCAAGGTAACATTGGTTTCGTCTTATTGTTATGAAATTTAGCAAGGGGTTGATTTTCCTGCAAGCTCATAGGGTAGCAACTCCTGAATCCCAAAGAAGTGCATCAGATGAAACTCTGCTCATTGTCTTTGACTGTAAAAGGGACCACGACTGACAAAAGACCCTAAACGCACCAGGAAGGGCGTTGCTGTAGCTCACCTGGTTAAGCAGGCGGCCTGTATGCAACAGGCTCTGAGCATTTCCTGCATGTCCTTCCCACACACTCTGCTTTCCTGTCTGCATATAATAAGCAGGTTTAAGGTATTCCACCTGTCATAACCAGATGCTACATCTGCCTCTGTCTGTGGTTTTAGAGCAGTTTGCTAACAATTTAGATTCCTCTTAGCCTGAAAATGGGGTCATTAACATTATTTTTCTCTACACTCATAAAAATTAACTCATAACGTTTAAGTCAAGACACCAAGAGTTCAACCACAGACTTGTAATCTTTTCATTACAGCACACCTGCATGTCTTAGAATATATATTTAAAACAAATTCAAATAAAGAGCATATATTAGGTCTTCACCTTTTTTTTTATTCTGCTAAAAATTAAAAAAGATATTGGACTTAATTTAAATAATATGAACATTTACATAGTAAAACAATTTTTAATTTACATATATTTGCACATAAATGACTGAAATCTTATTTTATACTCCTTTAGGCTTTTTAATTTGAGATCGAGTGTTTTCCTTCTTGTATTAAAACGTTTGTGTTTCACCTAATAATCAGCTGAATTTAAAGATTTTCAAAAAGTCCCGTGAGTCATCCGGTAAAACCGGTCACGTGCTTTCCTCCTGTTATCTAAAGGACCTGGCAGACAAGTGAAGTCTGCACGCTGTGCAAATCAGTTCTGATTTAAGTGTTTGAGGTACTCGTGTCTGTCCTTTTGTTTGCAGGACAAAGTGCTTGGTCACACTGCTTGTACAATAAAAGTTATCAGGAGCTGGAGCACTACAGTAGATAAGAGGCTTTCCGCAGCTTGACTGCAAAACCAGAATTTTTGGGAGCGGTTTGGTTGTTTTATTTATTTATTTATCTTGGGTGTCCTTCAACTGCAGAAGTGATAAAGACCTGTTGAGAGTGAGGTCAGCAGTGACGCTCGGCAGGCGGACAATGGCAGGTGTTTACAGGAAAACGAGGTCAGCTTTGACCACTCTTAAATGTAAATGTAATGGCTTTTCTGTGCAGGCGGTGCTTTAACAGAACAAGAATCCTCAGAGAGGCCTGACCTTCAGAGCCGTGCTGAATAACTAAACAACGGTGCGTGAGAGTGTTTACATATATGGGACGCGTATCTCGATATGTCCGCGCGCATTAAAGCTGTGCGTTTCTCTGCAGTTTTCTAATTGCGTGGGAGGCGGTTCGAGTTCGAGCGCACATCCAGATTACGACACGCACGCTCTTTGTCACCGAGAAACCGCTGTTTTCTCATCCGAATGCCTTTCATCGCAGCCAAAGACCAAACAAGTCTAAATATCCTCAAGATGTTGATCTTTCCATCCACCCACCAAACCCCATCCACGAACACTCTCTCTGCCTCCAGTAAATATTCAAGGACCGTCATGCATTATACAGTTGGGTTTCATCCACTGTTAAATATACATATTGTGTTTTCAACTGCGGCTGAGATAAAGTAAATTTGGGCCACATGTAAGACACATGACTCACACTAGGTGTCTGACTACATTTGTGTGTTTCTATTGATTTAAAAGAGCGAGTCGACCCTGCAGCAGTAATGGAAACTAGTATCAGCACTCTATCTCTGTAGCAAACGACAGGGTGCAGCCTGCAGTAAAGCGTAGGATATTGGCTTTTCTCTCATTCGCTGTGCACCGCTATTTGTTGATGTCATGGCTTGTTGTCTCCTCTGAATCTCATGAATTTGTGAGGGATCATTAAAAATGCATGTGGCAGATATTGAGAGCAAAAGGGAATTTTTATTCCAAGATTTATCTCAAGGTGAAACTCTGCATTTAGCACTGGGGTCTAGTGAGCTGTGGGTAGCGATTCGGAGCGGGTGGGCTCGTCTGCTGTGCTCCAGGTACACGAGGGGAAACAATGACTGGAGGTTGCACCACGAGCAAAATGATTGCGACTGTTTGTGATAAACTTGGGATACTGTTGCCCTGGAAATAGTTGACTTCAAAGATGTGATCACTTGCTGACTTGATGATGATGATCACATGGCAGTAAGACGGACTTAGTCTGCTCTTGGTTTGCTGTCCATTTGCATTTGAATGAGGTAAAGTTGGCAATTAAGTGCAATCTGTTTGTGGTAGTTAGGTGATTAACTTAACTGTGATATATTGTGGGGCGATCGTGGCTCAAGAGTTGGGAGTTCGCCTTGTAATCGGAAGGTTGCCGGTTCGAGCCCCAGCTTGGACAGTCTCGGTCGTTGTGTCCTTGGGCATGACACTTCACCTGTTGCCTACTGGTGGTGGTCAGGTCCCGGTGGCGCCAGTGTCCGGCAGCCTCGCCTCTGTCAGTGCGCCCCAGGGTGGCTGTGGCTACAATGTAGCTTCCCATCACCAGTGTGTGAATGGGTGGATGACAGGTTGTGTAAAGCACTTTGGGGTCCTTAGGGACTAGAAAAGCGCTATAGAAATACAGGCCATTTACCATATCTGGGATAAATCGGCAGCAATTGCAAATCTTTTTCCATCTACATGCAAGAAATTCACATTTATTAATTCCCCTCAGACTCCAGCCAGAACCCACGAGATTTGCAACAGCACTTCAGAAATTCCTCCACAAATAGTGACGTAGATGCTGCAGGATATCAAGTTAACTCCAGGACATAAGCCCTCAGCAGCCTTAATTGCATGTAAGAATATAACCAGAATCCAACCAGTTGGCCACTAGTTCAGTCCCCTATTGCACAGAGATTCTGTTTGCACAGACTGATTCTGTTTGAGTGCAACGTGTTGGCAGTTATTTGCCATCAGACAAGTTTCCCACCAGGTGACCTGTGCAGTGGCCTTGCAATCAAACGTGGTCAGCCAGGCCTAGAGGATGTTACAAACACTGGGTAACCAGTTGCAAAAGCAAGAAAGTTTAAAGCAATCATCAGGCAAGCACCAATTTATTTATTTAGGTGTTTTTCTAGTCCCAAGGAGGTTGCTACTGTATTGTGATTGAGCTATACAGCAGCTATAAGTGCTATTTTTAGAATAATAACTACTTGCATGTGATTTTCATGAGCTCTACTTTCAGCTTTTTAGCAACTTTCAGCAGATTTTGGAGTTACTAGCCTCAATTTTACCGTTTTACTTTAGTGTCAACATGTGCAGTCTCACTTTGAAGCCATTTTCTGCTACAGCAAAACCTCTAATCATCAACTTTAGTCTGATGCTTGTTACTGAGGTTGGTAGCACAAACCAAGCAAATAGCTGCCAGCTTTATCTGTCAGTAAGCAGCTAGCTGGTGAAACAACAAAGCAGCATCTGCCGGGAGTAATCTAACAATCAGCTAAACAGAGAATGAATAGGGAACATGTATTGATCGGGTGGGCAGGAATACACCTCCACCTGTACGCTCTGTGTGTAAATAAGCAGCTGTTTGTTGTCTGCTCTGAATCTCATGAAATTTTGAGGAATTGTTAAACATGAACGTGGTAGACTTCAGGAGCAAACGGAGTTGTTATTCTAAAATGTGTCTCTTGTTTTAAGCTCTGCGTTTATGTTTTGTTCTCAGCTCCACTGAGCACTCCTTAGCATCTTTCAGCTCAATTTTTGGGGTTGGGGGAGACTCTTGCCTTGATTTAACAATTTTAATTCAGTCTCGACACTCTCTCTGCAGCCATTTTCAGCGAGATAAAACGGACACAAATGCAAATTGTCTGTCTGTTAGTCGGTGAATAACGGAGCATGTAGGAGCTAAAGAGAGACACGTTTCTGCCAGGAGTTGATATAAATCTAACAAACAGCTAAAAGGAGAGTGAACAGTGAACTCGCTTTGATCAGGCAGACGGAAACACAATTCCAGCTAAACGCCGTAACACACCAACATAAAAGGGGGGTTGTCATACCGATGTAAAAAGGGGGATATTATCTCATTGTTTATGAAAATTGCTTCCCCAAAGTGCCAAAGAAAACCAGTTACGGCAGGTTTACAGACTGTGCCGGTGGTTCTCCGTTTGTAAATGAAAGTTTTGATCCTGGGAGGTGACCCTAAAGCTGCAGTTTGCCTGGCAAGGGAAAAAAAGACAACTCGGTTATGCCGTGTTTAAGTTTTGTCGTACTGTCAGCGCCAAAAAAGCAGCAGAAACCAGCTCACATGATTTTGTTTTTAAAGTGCAACAGTTCCCTGAAATGCATTATCTCAAAATTGAAATCGTCTTGTTCAGTCAAGTTTGATTAAAACTCTTGTCTGCACGAGTGCTGTTTAATAAAAGCACGAATGTCAGAGGGGTTTACTTTATTATTTCCCGCTGTGCTCGGTTCTAGATTTGCTATTAGTGTAGTTTGAAGATGGGATCCCAGCTTATGTCAGTCCACTGATTTTTAACCCTCTGTGCTCTGTGTCTCCCCCTGCAGGTGATGAGCAGCCGCTTTTTGCCCTACGAGATCATTGTGACCGACGCTGTCCTCAGCCTGGATGAAGACACAGTTTTGTCCACCACTGAGGTATCCTCTAATAAACACAGCGACTCTTCTTTGTATCGCCGTCTCCTCCACTTGAGTTGTAAAGTTCGACACTCCCTTATTGCATTTCCTTTTTTTAGCTTTTAGCTTCTTTTTGTTTGTCCCTGCTGCTTTCAAGTTGGTCCCCAAAATTTGTGGCCTGGTTCTTTAATCTTTTAAAGTCTAACTTTCACTCCCGAGGCCTTGCTTGCTTTTCTCTCTTCTCGTGCGCTTTTCTGCCTCTTTTTCCTTCTCTCTCCTTTTCTTCTCATCGCCCACCTCCTGTTTTTGGCTCTACCTCTCCTATCCCCTAATCGACGGCAGCACTGTTATGGGCATTTCTGTTCCACATGCTGGCGGGGCTGTTCCTGTTTTTCTTTTTCTTTTTTCTTTTCCTGGGGATACGTTTTGGCGCGGCATCATGGGAAGCCAGAACATAGCAGAAAGAAATGAGTTTATGTGGCAGATCAAGATGGCAAGACAGAAGGGAAAATCCATCCCCGACAACTGAATCGACCTGCGTTACTCCCAGGAAGACGGTTGGATCACGAGAGCAAACACTTCTCAAAGTTTCTGAGCTCAGGGAATGTCAATGCCAGGAAACTTGAGAAAAGGGGGGAAAAAAATGAAGGTTAAAAACCGGTAATCTCCCCATCCACCCACTCCTTCTTTTAAACAAATGATTCAAAGCGCAGTTTCTGGCCCCGGCGTCTTTGTTTTCTCATTTTTATCCGACTCTCTCCAACCTTAAGTGAAGATGGCGACGACGAGAGCTGTCTTTAACAATGATACTCACTCCTTTGAATATGACTCCCGGTTCAGTCGGAAAGTAGGCAGAATTATGAAAGTCGGTGAAATATTTTCCTTGTGATTGTAATATCGTTCAGCTTCCATCTCTTTTATTTTGAACTGCAGGCAGGAGCAGAAGAAAGTCATTATTTTCCTTCAGGGCTTTTTCATATGTACAAATTTTGGCAGGAAGAGCAGATAGATACTGTTTTATGGTGGATTTTACATTTTTTTTTCTGTTCTTTTTTAATATTCAACAACATAAGCAGCCTCACAGCGTAGTATAGTGATGTGCGGTGTAATGCAGAGCAGGCTGTTCGAGGAGCCGCTGAGACCTTTCTGATGTTTTTGTCTAATTATTTGATTGAGCGCTTTGATCGTCGCTGCAGTCGTTTGCTACAAGCAGCTGCTTAGGAAAGACTGCTTTGTGTTTCATGAGGTTTTGCCTCAGTTGTATTTTCACTCGAGTGTGTTTTGAACGTGTTGTTCCTTTTTTGGGTTTCATTGTAGTCTCTTTCATTTCCTCTTTATCTTTTTTTTCCCTCACACAACACACTGTAAATAGATACATTTTTTTACACCTTTGATTAATGAAAACAACAACTTCACTTTATTTGGCTTTTGTAAGAAAATATTTAACACAGCTCATTCCAACAGGGGTTTATAATGGTGTGAATATTAGGGATGCACTTATCCAACCTTTTTTACTGATAGAGGACTGTTCCGACGCCATTTAAATATTGTTTTGTTGATATCCAAGAATACAAATTGACTGATTTGCTATTTATTGGTAAATAACAAGAAACTGGACCAACATAAGTTAAAAGATTTAGGGTCAACTTTGACCTTGGGCGCTAACAATTGAGGTCAAGATCCATAAAGTTTTTACTGATTTGGTGTGACCTTGACGACGACCCCCTTGGCGTCCATGCTGGATTTGCTTTACTCCACTAATGGTCTAGAAGATGTAGAACAACAAAGAACAAGACTGAAGAGATTGACTCTTGGGACTGGATCGCAATCTGATCCAGACATTGGATCGGTGCATCCCGAGTAGCTGGAAAACATCTGCTGAGCTGTGAAAATTCCCCCTTATTTATCCTTCCCTCCCCAAAAAATACCAAAGCAAAAGCACCTTTTACAGTACCAGGCTGTCGTGCTTATTTTTGCACAGTTTCTCCATAATAGGGGTTATTGTATATGAAAAGTGCTGAACAGTAGCTTTTCATTTTGATCAGCTGAAGTTGATTAAAAAGAAGAAAAAAATTTGTATTTTTGCCACAAAGGTGTCCAGAGGGTACTAAATTAGAGTTTCTTATTAGAAATGATTAATGTTCTGATTTTTTTAATGTTTTAATCTCTGTCTAGGTGGACTTTGCCTTCACTGTCTGGCAGAGTTTTCCAGAGCGAATTGTCGGATACCCCGCCCGCAGCCACTTCTGGGACAGCAACAAGGAGCGCTGGGGCTACACCTCCAAATGGACCAACGACTATTCGATGGTCCTGACTGGGGCTGCCATCTATCACAGGTGCACTTCAGTCTGTTAAACTAAACGCTTCCTTCTCAAGCAGCTGTTTACCTCCATGTCCTTTGATTCTCCTCACTCCCGCTCCGTTCTCCTTCCGTTACACGAGGCTCGGTGTTGCTCCGCTCTGCTCTCCAGTGTTCGGTTGTCTTTCTTTTGATGCGGCGCTTTGATGCGGTGATCTGTAGATTATGAAAGTAGATGTGATGTTCAGTGTGGCGCAGCCTCGGGAAACCAGTGTTTTGACACGGAGTATGTTTTATCCCCAAAAAATGTCAATTTGTCTGCCGCGCAGCCCTCGATAGTTCCCGCGTTTAGTTCGACTACAGTCCTGTCAGCTTCAATATGGCTTCACTCAGCTGTGATGGGAGCAGTCCATTAAGCTTAAGTCAGCCAATCACCGCAGCCGAACGCTTAATCACTTTCAATAAGTCACTCGTTCAATCCATCCAAGAGCTTCAACAGCGATGGTGCGGCCTTTAATGTGAAATATTCACTTTTTATATTTAATTTAAGCTGTCAGCACAACCGGCTTTAAACCTTTGAAGCTCTAACACTGTTTATTTAGAAGTTTTTAAAGCATTACTTTTAAAATAAGAGCTTCAGTAGAATTAAGACTATTAAGGATTTAAGTGCCACTGGTTTCAATCTGGGAGCCTCTAAATACTCTTCTTCCTGTCCTCTCAGGTATTATCACTTCCTGTACACCAACTACTTGCCCACCAGCCTGAAGAGCATGGTGGACCAGTTAGCCAACTGTGAGGACATCCTGATGAACTTCCTGGTCTCTGCTGTCACCAAGCTGCCGCCCATCAAGGTCACACAGAAGAAACAGTACAAGGAGACCATGATGGGACAGGTAAGAGGGCAGCAGCTGTGACCACTACACCACACCGCATGTGGAAGTATGAATACTTATAATGCTGAGATCCATCTCTTTGTTGCACTTGGAGAGCTTATTAGCGTTGGGGGGAAAGAAGAGGATAACGGCCGGTCGAGAAAACTGGTTTGCATCTCATTACTGGATGTGACTGAGCCCGTAACAATTTACAATGCTGGATACAGAGCAGCCTTATTATACGGACCTCTTTGAATTTGTCCTTCTTTTCATGAGCCGTGATTCATGCTGAAGCCAGTGTTGTTTTCTTCCCTTCATGAGTGTGTCATGGCCTTTCAGCTGGAGCGAAGCCGTGCTGCTTTATGAACAGCATGAATTATTCTCTTTAAAAATCCTCTGGTATGGGCCACGGAAAAAAACAAAGAAAAAAAAAACAGGGCAAGTCATAACGGCACACAGACAAAAGCACAGAAAGGAGTCGTGTCGGTCCCGAAGCCTTGCGTCACGCTTTCTCATCGGGCTCCGGCGTGTCAAATATGACGGAGCTGACGATTTATTGAGAGAAGCTGACATCAGTCATCGTTCAGTGATGGCTTTCTCTTGTTACTACAACGAAAGTTTGACCATGATTGAGTCAAAGAGCTTCTTTTTGTTTAGTGTACGTCTAAAATCCCTGCTTGTTAATGATCGTGGTCCGAATACGCTGACTGAAAAGTGGATTGAAACTAGTTTAACATAAGAGTTTCAGTATTGGAGTATTTAGTCAGTTATGGACAGATACTTAACCTTCACATATTCAAACCCCAGCAAATGAGGATCTGACCCGCCAACCTTCCGACTGGTGGCCGACCACGCTACCCCAGTTAGCTTTTTACTCTTTTAGCGGTCAATCAAAAAATTTGGGTGGGAAGCTCATCTTGTAACCGGAAGGTTGCCGGTTTGATCCCCAGCTCTGTCTGTCTTAGTCGTTGTGCCCTTGGGCAAGACACTTCACCTACCGATTACTGATGGGGTCCAGAGGATGATCCAGAGGGGCCGATGGCGTGATATGGCAGCCTCGCTTCTGTCAGTCAGGGCAGATACAGGGCAGCTGTAGCTACAACTGTAGCTGCCTCCACCAGTGTGTGAATGTGAGAGTGAATGAATAGTGGAATTGTAAAGCGCTCGAAAAGTGCTATATAAATGCAATCCATTGTATTATTATGTATTATTGTTATTTCCTGTTATTATCAGGAGGGTTTATGTAAAAATACAGGAGTCCGCCTGGATACCGGTGACAAAAAGTGTGTCATTACTAAATGGACCGGTTCACATATTGTGCTTTCCTATTCTACTGGAGCACTTGAAGCACTTTTATACAACATGTTTCATTCATCCGTTGACACACATTCACTTTTTTCTACTGAGTGTGAATCTAACATTCACACTCAGTGGCTTTCCCAAGGACACTTTGGGAAGCAGACTGGAGCAGCCAGGGATTAAACTACAAACTTCCCGATTAGCAATGACCTGCTCTCCCTCCTGAGCTACAGCCAACCATTAAGAAGAGGAATTCAAGGGTCCGATCATTTCAAGCGCTGCATAGTATACATATAACATGTGCATGTCCACATGTGATTATAATCCCGGCTTTATCCGCCATGCTTACTATAATGGAATAATGCAGACATAAGAGAAATGCAGCCGTCCTCGATCATGCTCATGCATATGACATGAACTGTGGCAAAATTAAGAAGTAAAGTAGTTCCTTCTTTCTCTGCCTCACTCATACATCATAGATTTGGTCTCATAAACTCTTGCACACTTGCAAAATATTGTTTTAAAGGGGTCCTACTGCGGCCATTTCCATACTTTTCATCCTTGCTTGGAATGATTTACAGTTAAAATATTCCACATTTATAGGATTTAGAGGAGTTTGACGTCTATGCTTTTGGCTCACAGGGATTACCCGAACGTATTCTGAGCTCATTATTTGGCCATGTTTAATATAATTATTCACTGCTGTAACAGGACACATATGACAGAAACTACGGAAAAGCATCTCAGAGGCTCTTTTAAGATGCTACCACTGATATTTTATAGATCAAGATCTGCAAAACTGGATTTTGTTCCAAAACACAGTCGACTTGTAATTAGTTTTTTTTTTTTTATCTTCCCCCAGGATCTGCATCTGTTACTGAAAACTCTAACTTTTCTTCTTTTTGTTTTTCCTCCTCTTCTCCATTCCCTCCAGTCTTCAAGGGCTTCTCGCTGGGCTGACCCAGACCACTTCGCCCAGCGGCAGACCTGCATGAACAAGTTCGCCAGCTGGTTTGGCGCCATGCCACTGGTCCATTCCCAGATGAGACTGGACCC